TGGTCCTGGTCCTCCCCTAGATCGACTCAGCCTCAAATGAGCACCTGGTGTAGCGGTGTGTAATCATCGCCACTGGGGGAGACAAAGGCGGCCGCGCGTGGCGTTGGCCACTCACCCCCTTCGTGCGCCACAATGCCGGTAGCCTTCATAGGTGCTGGCTAACAGCACTTGCCCCCAAGAGTCTGTGAAGGCTACACGGGGCATCTTTGTCTTTGCAGTCATTAACGACCGGGGCTTGAGACTGTTAACGTGACACGATTTGAGTAACCACCTACACGAACGTGATTTCCTTTGCTGCCACTCACCACACGTACGTGTGTGTGCACTTTAAATGTTTAATATAGCGTATGAGTTGACCAAGACTTTCTTTTTTTGTTCGTTACAAAATGTGATTCGGCGAACGGGCGGAATTCACTGCCCCGATGCCTCTCCGCTCTCGGCACAGTGCCAAGAATTTCACAAAAGCACTCCAGAATCTGATCACACTTGCCTATTAATGTCATCATTTTGATCTTGGCCTGCCTTCAATCTTCTTCTTCGTGTCTCCTGTCCAACCTCTTACGGTCTTCCCCCCCCCCCCCCAATATTCTGCACAGGCCACCGGCTTCTGATGGTTGGCACTGCCAACATCTTGAGGAGTGGCGCTGTGGGTGCTGCAGGGCACCCCAGGTGATGGTCCACGTGGTTTGCGTCTCCTTACAAGCACGCATTGTTCGGTTACGCAATAATTGCGCTATAAATTTTAAACATATTTTTAAATATAAAAATCCAATAAAGTATATACGCTATTTTGGTGTATATATTATATATACCCTATTGAGTTTATATATATACCCTATTGGGTGTATTATATATACCCTATTGGGTATATATAATATTTATTTATATATATATACCCAATAGGGTATATATATATATAATATATACACCAAAATAGGGTATATACTTTATTGGATTTTTATATTTAAAAATATGTTTAAAATTTATAGCGCAATTATTATATTTATATATATTATATATAGCAGGGGTCCCCAACCCCCAGGCTACAGACCGGTGCCGGTCCATGACTTGTTAGGAACCGGGCCGCACAGCAGGAGGAGGTGAGAGCCGTGAGTCCGCACGTGGCCCGCCCCCATTGTTTTATTATTCACCACTTCCGTCCGCTCCTCTTTCACGCACTGCGCCACTTGTCTCAGTCACGTGGTGTTGGTAAGCCCACAAGCTCTAACCCCTAGTAGCCACAATGGGTAAGCCCACAAGCTCTAACCCCTAGTAGCCACAATGAGTAAGCCCACAAGCTCTAACCCCTAGTAGCCACAATGAGTAAGCCCACAAGCTCTAACCCCTAGTAGCCACAATGAGTAAGCCCACAAGCTCTAACCCCGAGTAACCACAATGAGTAAGCCCACAAACTCTAACCCCTAGTAGCCACAATGAGTAAGCCCACAAGCTCTAACCCCTAGTAGCCACAATGAGTAAGCCCACAAGTTCTAACCCCTAGTAGCCACAATGAGTAAGCCCACAAGTTCTAATCGCTAGTAGTCACAATGAGTAAGCCCACAAGTTCTAACCCCTAGTAGCCACAATGAGTAAGCCCACAAGTTCTAACCCCTAGTAGCCACAATGAGTAAGCCCACAAGTTCTAATCGCTAGTAGTCACAATGAGTAAGCCCACAAGTTCTAACCCCTAGTAGCCACAATGAGTAAAAAACAAACGTCGCTCGAGAGCTTCTTTGAAAAGGGGGAAAGACAACAATGATGAACCCCCCCTCCCCCGCGGTCCGTAAAAAAATAGTCTTCCACGAAACCCATCCCTGGTGCCAAAAATGTGGGGGCCCGCTGATGTATATAGGGTATATTTTTACATTCTTTTATGCCTGATTTGTTGTTTTTATATACACCCTATCGGATTCTTACCGTCGCGTCCCTCCAACAGTTTTTGTTCGCTTGTTCGAAAACAGAAACTCAACGCAAGATATTTTTGTCTCTCACTTATCTCGAGCCCGACTGTGCAGCCGCTGCCGCCCCCCCCACCCCCCGTCTTCTTCCTCTCTCTCCATTTGCTTCAACCGCGCTCCGAGCAGTGAAAATTGTCCACGAAATCGCCACAACGGCAGGCAGCCGTTGCGAGCCGCCATGTGGCAAAGCAGCGACGCGCAGGGGAGGCCGGCCCTCGTGTCCCCACCGGGGACCCGCAAGGTCACTCGTGCCCTTGGCAGAAGAGGCCCAGGGCGTGCAGGTCAACGGGTGCCACCCGCTGGCCGAGACTTGGTGATGCTGTGGTAGTCCTGCTGCTTGGCTGGCCACAGAAGAAGAAAGACGTCGGTCACCGGCGTCGTCGCTCGGCGCTTTCGGACGAGCTCCCGCGGCCGTCTGGAACGCTCTTCCTTCCGATATTAACAAGCCACTGGTGAGCTATGCACTTTGAAGTAATCTAAATTGAAATCTCGTTTCCTTAGAGTTGCTTGTTATAATAGGGGTTTTCCCCTTTTTTTCTGGCAACAAAACTGAAACCTTTTTTACAAGGATTCATGTCTGCATTAACCACAATACCTGCAGTCAAAATGCAAACAAAAAACATACTATGATAATATATGCATTGTCCTTGAAACTGATTGGTCCACACCAAGGGACGGCCAAAAGGCATACAGCTGTACGCCATTTGGCGTTATCTGGTCGAGCACCAATTTGGTCGAGGCTTAAAAGAAAGCCGTCCCTTGGTGTGGACCAATCAGTTTCAAGGACAATGCATATATTATCATAGTATGATTTTTGTTTGCATTTTGACTGCAGGTATTGTGGTTAATGCAGTAACATGAATCCTTGTAAAAAGGTTTCAGTTTTGTTGCCAGAAAAAAAGGGGAAAAACCCTATTATTATATTTTGGTACTGGCAAAGGAGGTCTAATGATGAGTTGCTTGTTGTTGTGTTTAGTCTGTTGTCCTTCCCCCGCCCCCGCAACTCCGATTAGTGCGGTTGGTTACGTACGGTATGACAGAAGTTCAACGTGCACACGCATACCCAGTGCAGTGGCTACAGAGTGCGGTGGCTCTGTGATGCGCAGTGTAACACCTCAAGGGGTTATAAAAGGCAAAAATCTGCGCGGCATTGCACGTACAGAAACTAATCAGCCTTATCCAGACCACCAGCTCCAAAGAACTCAATCGTGTGGCCGCTTTGTCGTTTAGTCCGCCGACTTCTAAGCGATGACAAAATGTCGCCGTCCACATTCGCTGAGCGTTTCGGCCTAGTGCGAATGTTTCCGTGGCGATGGTCCTCCCGGTCACTGAGAGACGAGGGCAGTGCCGGATTATCCCAGGAGCAACAGCAGCTACATATGTAGTAGCTACGGTAGCTACACGTGTAGTAGCTACACATGTAGCTACAACACATGTAGCAGCTACTACATAGTAGCTACGGGCCCTGCACTTTCAAGGGCCCCGCGCTAAATGCTTTCAAGCTCACAATTCCGTTTCAGTGATTCTGCACTTGCTCTATTACTATAGTACTATACCGCCTTAAACTTTTACGAACGACCAGCTGTTTAAGGTTAGGTTAGGTTATTTGTCGTAATATCCGGATGTATAGCAAATGAAAAATACAATTATTTTACTATGCAAGTTAAAATTTTACGTGTTTCAATATTTCCGTGTTTTTTTTATTTAATTAGGGCCCCTTTATAACATTTGCTACAGGCCCCGCGCTCGCTTCATCCGGCACTGGACGAGGGGACGGTGAAAAGCCTCGAACCAAAGGTCCCGCGAGGCCTGCAACACCGCTGCCTCGGGCGAGAGCCGCAGAGGGCGGTGTCACCACGGCGTCTCCCACCTGCTGAGCAATCGCGTCTTGTACGTTGACAGACGGTGCACCAGTCAGCTTGTTTCGGATGAGGCCCATTGAGCCAAAATGCTCTTTTTCAATGGAGGGCATTACAGAAATCCCATGCGGGAATGCACGTTTGTTGGCAAAATCGCGTGCCATTTTTTAAAAATCTTCTTTGCGCTGTCGTCACCGCCGTTTTGTTGAACGCTGAGCGGGGTTTTCGCGAACGGCATTTCGACCCGTCAACGATTCGTAGGCGAGGCCAACGTCGCGAATGATCCGTTTGTCGAAACTGCCGCTGCCGCTGTATCTGGGTGGCGCGAGGGAAACGTTCTTTGACTTGACCGGCGGCGAGAGTTGAAGCGACAGCGAGGTTGCCAAGACGCTCGCGCGCCCCCCCCCACACTTGACGAGATTGTATTTCATATTCTTAGTTTTTTCGGTAAAGTCACGTTGAAGAGAAACAACAAAATAACAAAATATATATAAAACAATAAAAAATTCTCACGACGTTTCGACCATAACTCAAACGGTCATCATCAGGTGTGGCGGTGTGCATAAATTTATTTTGAAAACGGCATATTTATTTATAAAAAAAAATAACGTTTGCGTCACGCGCAACGATGGCAGTTTGCCCAGGACTAGTCCATCTATTTTTTGAAAAGAGGAGGGGGGAGACGAAATTTGTTTTTATGTATGCTGTCTGAAAGCCACTGTAAGCGTGAACAATCAATCAAGAACTGAAATGATTTATCAAATCTTTCCAATGATTGCTAAGATAGAATCCATCTTCTCGGTTGAAATTGTCTCTGTGTTTGTATATGTGGATAGCCTCATGAACGAATCTCTCATGGAAGCCAGATGGCTTACAAAGAACCTCCGTCTTGGAAAAGTCAATGGCATGTGAGCCTACTGAATTAGAACAATGATCTGCTACGGCCGAGGTGTTGGTCCTACCGTGTTTAAGGTCTGCTTTATGTTCACGAATGCGGTCCGAGATATGTATTTGTTTGTCCGTGTCCGTCATGCGCTGCAGTGTTTTTCATTGTTTGTCTATCGTGGTGACAAAAGTAAGACAGAAATGAATGTCCCGTAGCCACGACCATTCTGCGCAACTTTCTTGTGTTGCAGCGATTATTGTTTTGCCCTTTCTGGAAAATAAACACGAGTCAAAGCCCTCTTGTCGACGACATTAATGATTTAATTTGAAAGAAGTGGAGAGCAAAAACAAAACACACCACGCAACATCGTCCCGCTTCCGGCAGACTCATGCTCATTTGCAGGCCTGGTGCCGCGTGTGTACACCACGTGTATACCTTGTGCCGCACAGGGACAGCTGCCACTTGGGGGTCTCCTTGCAATAGCCTGCAGCAGCCCACCAGCATGGCAGCGGCGTGGATGCACTGTGCCCGAGTCGCAGAGCCGTTAAAGTGCCCGAAAAATGGAAATACTCTTATCATGGGACACTTAGTTGCCAGTATCAAAGTATGAAAAGTAAGAATATGTTTGTACCCTTTGTTGGCAATAAAAAACAGGAGTTATATTAAAAAAACAGGAGTTAAGATGTTCAAACACCCAAATAGAAACCCTTTTGCAAGGAATCAAGTAACTGCGTTAATAAGACTCGATTCCATTTAGCACTCTACGTACAAACCAGCAATGCTCTGAGAGTGCATTGTCTGGTCTGACACTGGTGGTTAGACTAGGCCCGAAAGAAGTCTACCGTCTCTGGTGTGGGCTCATCAGTTTCAAAGACAATGAATCGAATACTATGAGAGCCACGTGGTTGTTTGCATGTTCACCACAAGCACTGTGTGCGTGGTTAACGCAGGAACTTGATTCCTTGCAAAAGGTTTATATTTGGTGTTTCGACATCGTAACCGAACTGCTGTTTTATTGGCAGAAAGGGTACAAACTTATTCTTGTTTGTCATAAATCCTCATCCTCGCGGAAACGCATTTAAGCCGCTTGTCGCAGACGTCGCACGGTTCAAACCCCAAAGGGCGTCCTGGTTAATACCGGCAGTGTTATTTACCGTGAAAATAACCGCGGGCCGTCCGCTTAACGGCGGACGTTGTAGGGGGCCGATGCGCGCCGGCGTCACCGTCCAAAAGTTGGCGAAATATTCCAAAGTCCACTCGCCAAATTTCACGTCTCTTCGGTGAGTCCACGTGGCAACGTTTGCACCCCTCGCGAACCTGACGCTGCTTAGAGAGCGCGCGCCGCGTCTCTACCAAGCAGCAGCAGCAGCAGCAGCACCGTCACGGTGGGCCTTGCGCTACCGCGGCGCGTAGCCAACTCCGCGGGCAGACACCGCGCGCGGGGGATGGGGGGCGGGGGGGGCGTGTGGTGCCGGCTGTCCGGTCAGCGCCGACGTGCGGCGGTCGGACGCGCGGCACTGCGCCGTGCCGACGGTTCGGGTTACGCGGCTTGGGTCGGCCCCGTTCGCCGTTGACCCCCCGACGCTCGACGACCGCTTTGCCTGCGGCGCGTGTCCGCGACGCGAGCGGGCGGGCGGGGAAAGAGAAGGCAAAGGATGACGAACGGAGCGAGGAGCAGGAGGAGGACGATGAGGAAATTAAGAGGAGCAGGAGGAGGAGGATGAGGAGTGGGAGGAAGAGGAGGAGAGGGCGGGCACTACTCGAGCTACTCGTCGTCGTCGTCGTCGTCGCCCGTGTTCACGGTGGGGCACGAGTGCGCCGACAGTCCCAAGGGGCTGTTCACCGCCGCGTCCATGTCCAGCGGCTCTCCGGCCAGGCGCACGTCGCGCATGCAGCCGTGGAAGTGCACGCTCACCGGCACGGCCTGCAGCGGAATGGTCTCTACGCACGCGGAGCGGAGAGACGACACGCGGACGTGGGGAGAGAGACGCGGGGAGGTGGGGAGAGAGACGCGGGGAGGTGGGGAGAGACGTGTGGAGGTGGAGCGAGACGGGGAGAGACGTGGGGAGAGACGTGGAGAGGTGGGAAGAGACGCGGGGAGGTAGGGAGAGAGACGTGGTGAGGTGGGGGGAGGTGGGGAGAGACGTGGGGAGGTGGGGAGAGACGTGGGGGGGGGGTGGGGAGAGACGCGGGGAGGTGGGGAGAGACGTGGGGGGGGGGTGGGGAGAGACGCGGGGAGGTGGAGAGAGAGACGTGGTGAGGTGGGGAGAGACGTGGTGAGGTGGGGAGAGACGTGGTGAGGTGGGGAGAGACGTGGTGAGGTGGGGAGAGATGTGGGGAGAGACGTGGGGAGAGACGTGGGGAGGTGGGGAGAGACGTGGTGAGGTGGGGAGAGACGTGGGGAGGTGGGGAGAGACGGGGAGAGACGTGAGGAGGTGGGGAGCGACGTGGGGAGGTGGGGAGAGACGGGGAGAGACGTGCGGAGGTGGGGAGCGACGTGGGGAGGTGGGGAGAGACGTGGGGAGGTGGGGAGAGACGTGGGGAGGTGGGGAGAGACGGGGGGAGGTGGGGAGAGACGTGCGAAGGTGGGGAGAGACAGGGAGAGACGTGGGGAGGTGGGGAGAGACGCGGGTGACGAGCGATGATTCTTGACTGATATAACAATGTGTGCAGGAACAATGAGGCGCTCTCTTCTCACCTGGGATGCCCCCAATGTACGTGGTCACCGACTCGTTGAGCCACATCTCCAGCTTCCCTCTGTGTGCACTCAGCTGCAGCAGGGGTATAACGCTGTCCGCTTGCGTCAGATTCACTCCATCCACCTGCGGGGCCCGTCGTAGGGGTCTCGGTCACACTTCGCTCGCAGCGTCGTCAATTGTGCAAGACTCAAAGGGACAAGAGGTCTCCCGTACAGCCTAAAACAAGCTCTGTTGGCGAGCGGCACCGATGTCTGCGTCTGGAACTTCTTTCGCACCGCACGTAGCCAACGGCGCTCGTCCGAGGTGCCTACGAAGGCCGCAACGGGTTGGGTGGCCAGCAGCCACGCCCGGCCGTCGGCGCTGATGCACAAGGTGCTCACTTCAGGCTTCGAGTCGGCCTAGGGGAGGGCCCAGGACCCGTTCGGATATTTTGCCCCGGTCACTGCTCGTGAGCGGGTGTCGAAGTCGGCTCGCCGGGTTCGTAGCGCGGTGAACGCTGCCCGCCGCGCCGGCGCTCAGCGTTCACCGTACGTGGGCGACCGCCTGCCCGGTGAATTGTAGAACACCGATGGGGTTTTACCGCGTACGTTTTCTCACGGTCGCGCCGTGGAACTTGCCACTTCGTATTCCCGAGGCACGGCGATCGCTCATTAACCACATTCAGTCAATCCATTCATCATCAATTTTACTGTCGTCAATTTCGCTTTCAACGACGCATCATCACAGATTTGCTCCCCCCCCCCCCTCATCTCCACCGTTGCATCCACACACAACCTTCTTGTCAACACTCTCAATGTCTCCGCAAAGCGCCTTGAGTAAGGCGCTGTTCTAATTACATGACGGCAAGAGAAGATGCTCGCTCGCAGTTGTCCCGCCCGGCGTTGTCCCGGGCGGTGGCGTCCCGACGGTTCGTGCAGTTGCACCGCCTGCACACTCGACAGCGCTGCCCCCACCCCGCATTGCACCCCCACCCCCCAGCCTTCCCCTGTCGACGGGGCGGTGCCGGGCACCACCAAGGTACTCAAGGAGTCTGTGGGAGGGCTCCCGCACGGCACCCACAGCCCTGCTCACGGGCATCACGAGGCCCTAACCACGAGGTCGACTACGCGGCACCCCGCCCACCACCACACCCCCCGCCCCCACCCCCCACCAGCCCCAACCCCCCCCCGTCCCCACACCGCCTCCCACCACCCCGCTCCACCCACCCCCCACCGCCCCCCCCACCCACTACCACCCCCCACCCCGAAGGGCCTCACCTGCAGCGCGAGCTCCTCGCGAGAGATCTGAAGACGCAGGAAGTGCCACTTCCCATCGCAGAACACCTTCGACTCGTTGGCCTGGTAGCGGAGGGCAACGGAGTCCTCAAAGCCCAGGAGGAGTCTCTGCAACAAAGATGTTTGACAAAAATACATTGGATACTCACAATAATAATCATAACAGTATTCATCCTAAATTATTTTTTAAAAAAATTGTTTTACCAGGTAAAGCCCACTGAGCGATATAATTATTTTTCAGAAGCTACCTGGCCTACAAGTAATAGCTCAACGAAGTGGCTTATCGCGTGGAAATGTACAGCTGCCAAATACTTCAAAGGCGTGATGTTCATTTTAAGTGTGGAGGGGAAATCCGGAGGACCCAGAGAAAAATCCACGCGACCACGGGGCGAGAGAGAGAGACGCGCAAACCCCAAATACACAGCGGCAGCAGGCGTCAGGGTCGGGATCAAACCCACGGCCTCCTCCATTCGAGGCGAGGAAGATAACATCTCCTAGCCACCCCCCTCGTCATTGTCCACGACCGCGATCAATCCACTGCTCGATGAAGCCCTCCCTGAGCTGTCCAGCGACGCAACAGCGATCCGTCCGGCGGGGATCGTTTCCTCTCGAGCGCCGGCGTCAGCCTCGGCCGCCGGGGGCCCGCCGTCCTTCACGGGCCGTCGGAGGAGCGGGGCGGCGAGCCGGCACGCGACGCCGCTCGGATCTGCGCCGCCGAATACCTGGAGCGGGAGCCCCGGCCTCCGGAAGATCTCGTCGAGGCTGAGGGAGAGGACGACCTCCTTGTTGTAGTTGACGAGGCAGAAGAGGACGCCCGTGTCTCCCACGGGCCTGAAGGACATCTCGAGGTCGAGCAGCCACGGGGGGCGGCCGGGGCTGTTGCCTGACGGAACTGGACCACGCAAGATATTGGCGTCACCGGCGTCATCGTCGTCACCGTCATCATCGTCGTCATCGCCACAGCCGTCATCGTCGTCGACATCGTCATCATCGTCATCACCTCCACCGTCGTCATCATCGTCGTCATCGTCGTCACCGTCGTCATCGTCGTCACCGTCGTCGACATCGTCATCATCGTCGTCACCTCCACCGTCGTCATCATCGTCGTCATCGTCGTCACCGTCGTCATCGTCGTCACCGTCGTCATCGTCGTCGACATCGTCATCATCGTCGTCACCTCCACCGTCGTCATCATCGTCACCGTCATCATCGTCGTCACCTCCACCATCGTCATCATCGTCACCGTCATCATCGTCGTCATCGCCACAGCCGTCATCGTCGGTCACCGTCATTATCGTCGTCACCTCCACCGTCGTCATCATTGTCACCGTTATCATTGTCACGAGACGAAAGAAATTCGGGCAATGACATTTAAATGTGGAGGGAAAAACCGAAGGGGCCGGAGAAAAATCCACTCGACCACGAGGAGAGAGACACGCAAACTCCAAATATACAGCAGCAGGTGTCAGGGTCGGGATCTGACCCACAAACTCCTGCATACCAGGCGAGGGAGTAAACATCTCACTACTGCGGCACCCATTTATAGCAGCCAAATACTCCAAACGCTTGATGTTGCTTTTAAATGTGGAGGGAAAAAAAAACACAACCCTCCACCCGCTCCCCCCCCAGTCCCCCCCCCGCCTCCCCCCGTGCCCCCCCCAGCCCCTCCCGCTTCCCCCCCCCACCCCCCAGTCCGCCGCGCCCCCCCGTACCGTACTGCCGGTGGAAGCGCGCGAGCTCCGTGCCGGGGAAGTACGCGCCGCGCTCCACGCTCTGGTAGCAGAGGCGTGTCGTGTCGCTCCTCACGTGGGCGTCCGGGCCCCCCACCGCCCGCTCGCTCCCCAGCCAGTCCCACTGCCGCATGCAGCCGTCTAGCCGCGTGTTCAGCTGCGGAGCGCTCGCGGGGGGCCATAACGAGTGGGGGGGGGGGGGGGGGGTGGCGGACGAGGCTCACACGAGAGTCGGGGCGCTGAGCAGGCGCCGCTGACATCCAGGGTCATTAAATACCCCTGCTACTCCAGGCAGTCCTCGACTTACGAACCAGCTTCCGTTAAGTGTTTTTCACAATAACGTTGACTTAGAACGCGAACTCCTAATTGCGAACTGGACCACGGAACTAATTTTGTTCAGAGGAACGATCCGCCATGAGGATCGTTGGGAGTGAGTGTTTGCGTGTACATGTTGTATATGTGTGAAAGTGTGTGTGTGAAAGTGTGAGTGTGTGTGTGTTAAAGTGTGAGTGTGTGTGAGTGTGTGTGTGAAAGTGTGTGTGTGTGTGAGTGTGTGTGTGAAAGTGTGAGTGTGTGTGTGAAAGTGTGTGTGTGAGTGTGTGAGTGTGTGTGTGAAAGTGTGAGTGTGTGTGTGTGAAAGTGTGAGTGTGTGAAAGTGTGAGTGTGTGTGTGAAAGTGTGAGTGAGTGTCAAAGTGTGAGTGTGTGTGTGAAAGTGTGTGTGTGTGTGAATGTGTGTGTGTGTGAAAGTGTGTGTGAGTGTGTGAGTTTGTGTGTGAAAGTGTGAGTGTGTGGGTGTGAAAGTGTGAGTGTGTGAGTGTGAAAGTGTGAGTGTGTGAGTGTGAAAGTGTGAGTGTGTGGGTGTGAAAGTGTGAGTGTGTGAGTGTGTGTGTGAGTGTGTGAGTGTGTGTGTGAGTGTGTGTGTGAGTGTGTGTGTGAAAGTGTGAGTGTGTGGGTGTGAAAGTGTGAGTGTGTGAGTGTGTGTGAGTGTGAGTGTGAAAGTGTGAGTGTGTGTGTATGAGTGTGTGAGTGTGTGAGTGTGTGGGTAGCGCCCACCCGAGTTCGATTCTTGCTCACAGCCAACACCAGTACTTGGTGCGGTGTGTAGTAAGCATCACCACTGGGAAGACAAAGGCGGCCGGGAACAGCACTTGCCCCAACAGTCTGTGAAAGCTGCACGGGGGTCTTTGTGTTTGTGTGGGCACGAGCGCAATATGTTCGTGTGGGGAGCAGTTGTGCCAGGGTTAGCGCTACGCTGTGCTATGAACCTGACGGCCAAAGTTCCATTCGCGCTCACGACCAACGCGAGTGACGATTATCTGAACCGGTCCTGGGCCTCCCCTAGGTCGACTCAGCCTCAAATGAGTACCTTGTGCGGTGTGTTAACATCGTCACTGGGGAGACAAAGGCGGTCGGGCGTGGTGCTGGCCACCCACCCCCTCGTGTACCGTTCCGGCCTTCATAGGTGCTCGCTAACAGCACTTGCCCCTACAGTCTGTTAAGGCTATATGGGGGATCTTTGTCTTTATCTTTGTCGCGTGCTCCGTGTGTGTGTGTCTGTGTGTGTGTGAGTGAGTTCGCGTGCTCCGTGTGTGTGTCTGTGTGTGTCTGTGAGGTCGCGTGCCCCGTGTGTGTGTCTGTGTGTATCTGTGTGAGTTCGTGTGCCCCGTGTGTGTGTCTGTGTGTGTCTGTGTGAGTTCGTGTGCCCCGTGTGTGTGTCTGTGTGTGTCTGTGTGTGTCTGAGTGAGTTCGCGTGCTCCGTGTGTGTGTCTGTGTGTGTCTGTGTGAGTTCGTGTGCCCCGTGTGTGTGTCTGTGTGTGTCTGTGTGAGTTCGTGTGCCCCGTGTGTGTGTCTGTGTGTGTCTGTGTGAGTTCGTGTGCCCCGTGTGTGTGTCTGAGTGAGCTCGCGTGCTCCGTGTGTGTGTCTGTGTGTGTCTGTGTGAGTTCGTGTGCCCCGTGTGTGTGTCTGTGTGTGTCTGTGTGAGTTTGCGTGCTCCGTGTGTGTGTCTGTGTGTGTCTGTGTGAGTTCGCGTGCTCCGTGTGTGTGTCTGTGTGTGTCTGTGTGAGTTCGTAGCCCCGTGTGTGTGTCTGTGTGTGTCTGTGTGTGTCTGTGTGAGTTCGTGTGCCCCGTGTGTGCGTCTGTGTGTGTCTGTGTGTGTCTGTGTGCGCTTGCGTGCCCCGTGTGTGTGTCTGTGTGTGTCTGTGTGAGTTTGCGTGCCCCGTGTGTGTGTCTGTGTGTGTCTGTGTGAGTTTGCGTGCCCCGTGTGTGTGTCTGTGTGTGTCTGTGTGAGTTTGCGTGCCCCGTGTGTGTGTCTCTGTGTGTCTGTGTGTGTCTGTGTGAGTTTGCGTGCCCCGTGTGTGTGTCTGTGTGTGTCTGTGTGAGTTTGCGTGCCCCGTGTGTGTGTCTGTGTGTGTCTGTGTGAGTTTGCGTGCCCCGTGTGTGTGTCTCTGTGTGTGTCTGTGTGAGTTTGCGTGCCCCGTGTGTGTGTCTCTGTGTGTCTGTGTGAGTTTGCGTGCCCCGTGTGTGTGTCTGTGTGTGTCTGTGTGAGTTTGCGTGCCCCGTGTGTGTGCAACTGTGGAGACTCAATGCCCCCCTTCCGACTACAAGCTCACTTCAGGACTCAAGGCCGAGGGGGGCTTTGGGGGGGGGCTCGTCATACCGGCGCAAAGGGCTGGGTGCCGTGCGGGAGCCCGGCCACGTACACCTTGAACTCCTTGCCGCTGCCCTGTGCAGGCCCGTCGTCGGGCACGTCGATGGCGATGGAGTCGTTCGCAGAGATCCTGGTCACGACGCGGCCACTCAGCCTCTCCACGGAGATCTGCCGGGCGCAGGGCGAGGGAGAGCACCCGGCCACTCTACCAGACATGTTGTGGTAAAGAGCTTCATAGTTCATCGGGTTCCGCCGCTGGAAATACATATTCTGACTCTGACAGGACCGGACTAAGGGTCTCGTAGACCCTAGGCACTTGTAGACCCTAGGCACTCGTAGACCCTAGGCACTTGTAGACCCTAGGCACTTGTAGACCCTAGGCACTTGTAGACCCCAGGCACTTGTAGACCCTAGTCACTTGTAGACCCTAGGCACTTGTAGACCCTAGGCACTTGTAGACCCTAGGCACTCGTAGACCCTAGGCACTTGTAGACCCTAGGCACTTGTAGACCCTAGGCACTTGTAGACCCCAGGCACTTGTAGACCCTAGGCACTTGTAAACCCTAGGCACTTGTAGACGCTAGGCACTTGTAGACCCCAGGCACTTGTAGACCCCAGGCACTTGTAGACCCTAGGCACTTGTAGACCCTAGGCACTTGTAGACCCTAGGCACTTGTAGACCCTAGGCACTTGTAGACCCTAGGCACTTGTAAACCCTAGGCACTTGTAGACCCTAGGCACTTGTAGACCTTAGGCACTTGTAGACCCCAGGCACTTGTAGACCCTAGGCACTCGTAGACCCTAGGCACTCGTAGACCCTAGGCACTTGTAGACCCTAGGCACATGTAGACCCTAGGCACTTGTAGACCCTAGGCACTTGTAGACCCTAGGCACTTGTAGACCCTAGGCACTTGTAAACCGTAGGCACTTGTAGACCCTAGGCACTTGTAGACCCTAGGCACTTGTAGACCCCAGGCACTTGTAGACCCCAGGCACTTGTAGATCCCAGGCACTTGTAGACCCTAGGCACTCGTAGACCCTAGGCACTTGTAGACCCTAGGCACTTGTAAACCCTAGGCACTTGTAGACCCTAGGCACTTGTAGACCCTAGGCACTTGTAGACCCCAGGCACTTGTAGACCCCAGGCACTTGTAGACCCTAGGCACTTGTAAACCCTAGGCACTTGTAGACCCTAGGCACTTGTAGACCCTAGGCACTCGTAGACCCTAGGCACTTGTAGACCCTAGGCACTCGTAGACCCTAGGCACTTGTAGACCCTAGGCACTCGTAGACCCTAGGCACTTGTGTTTCGCAGGCCTCCAGTGATAACTTTCTACAGCTGGTACTGCTGCTGCTGCCCCGTGTTACGACTACCGTCGCTGTCACTCGATTGTTCCACGCGTACTTCGCCCGTAGGACAACGACGCCGCTTTGTCTTCCCTTGCACTCCCAGTTGAGAATGGGATTGTGCGAAAAATACTGCTTGAACATGTTTTTGCAAATTATTTTTGCAATGACAAAAAAAATCTCGGAAAGTTTCTCTCCGGTGTTAATTTCTCTCACCTTATTTAAAAAAAAAACGATTGACATGACTCTGCCTCGTTGTATCTACGCTGTGCCCTATCCCTGCTATCTAAATAAATGTATTCAAGAAGATTGTTTTATTATGCGAAAACAAAAAAAAACACAGGGTCAAAATGAGTTTTTTCGTAGGCCCTCGGCACGGTGCCTACTGTGGCCTAATGGACAATAAGGCCCTGATTCTGATACCGCTGGGGACAGGGCAGGGGGGTGGTCGACGTCGAGGCTCTACCGACGTGAAAGTGGCTCGCTCTGCCTGAGACGTCAGTCGCTTTGAGACGCAGGGGGAGGAGGGGGGTCGGATAAATGTCAGCGAGCGGCTCGTGAATTCAAAATTTCGGACCTTTTGCAACAGCGCCACCTGTGGGCAGGATAACACCCGTTTGCGGGCCGGTGCCACACATACCGTCTTCTGCGTAGGGATAGCTGCCGCTAGGACAGTGGATTGGTTGAGACGATGTCGGATGTACGGTGCCACGAGATGCAAAGGAAACTGCCTGCACAATGCAAATAATTTAACATTTTTTGCTCACTCCAACACTATGCTGCTACGCTCGTGCCGTGCTGCATTGCTCTCTCCTCTCAAGGACAGAAAGAACAAAAAATCCCGGTCAGTAATTTTTTTGCGGGTCAATTTTATTCCGATTTCCCTGATCGGCGTCGTGTCACGAGGCTGAGGGACCCATCCCATAGTGCATCGACCCCCCACCCCCCGGGGTGTTGCAGAACGGCCCGAGGACCTGGGTATCACAGAACTACTTCTGAGACCCGTGCACGCGACCTCCCGTCCACGCCCGCTCAGTGGCCCGGAGGCGAAGCGTCGCAGAGCGGCGCGTCGTCGCGCGCGGTCCGCGGAAGTAGACACCGTGGAACTAATCCTCACCGAGGTCCAGCGTCCGTGGTTGATGGTCGAGCCGCTGTTGGCGGCCGCGTTGACGCCGCGGGCGCTCAGCTGCATCTCGAGCCGCCCCTCGCGCAGCGCCAGCAGGAACCAGTCGTCCGTCGCGCCCCTCTCCACGTACAAGACCAGCCCCTCGGGGTCGTAGGTGAGCAGGTCGAAGGAGAACACCTCGCTGCAGGCACGGGGACGCGGGGGTCACGAGGGGGTCACGAGGGGCGCGGGGGTCACGAGGGGGTCACGAGGGGGTCACGAGGGGCGCGGGGGGCACGGAGGCCGCGTGGGCAGAGACGGCTTTCAGCGGGCGCCCCGGGGTCGACGACCGCCGGCCAACCGCCCGTCAGCCCAGCTGGGAAATTAAAACAACCCCCGTCGTGGGAGTGCAGGGTAGAGGCGCAGCCCTGCAGCCGCCTGCTGATGAGGCTAGGGCCTCCCCTGAAAGGGGATTTCTCTCTCTCTCTCTCAAGAGCACCCTCAAGTGGAGGGAGGCCACTTCCACCAGCAGACGCGGGGTGAGCGAGTCAGTTGCAGGGCCGCACCTTGACCACCGCACCTCTTCGCTAAAGACCGTCGAAGAACCCTCCCCCCCACCTCATCCCCTCCCCCCCACCTCATCCCCTCCCCCCCCCCAACCCCCCCCCTCCCCGCCCTCTTTCCCCTCCCCGTTTTTGGCGTTGTTCTCTCGTCTGACACTGCTGGTGAGACGAGCCCATTAAAGAAGGCCGCTGTCGTCACTGGTGTAGGCCAATCAGTCTCAAGGACAATGCGTCAAACATTATCAGAGCCTTGTTTGTCTGTTAACACAACTGCTGTAATATTGCCAGAAAGGGTAAAAAAAAAATCTATTCTTATCCCCCCCCCCCCCCCCCATAATTTTGGATGCTGGAAAAAAATGTCCCATTGATGATTAAAACAAAGACAGTTGAAGACATAAAACTTTCGTGACGGCAGGAATTCATATTCTTGGTTCTTTCGGTAAAGTCACATAGATATATAAAAAAAAATACTATTTAAATAAAAATAAATTAAAATTAAAAGCAAAAAACCACGACGTTTCGATCGCAACACAAGCGGTCTTCATCAGGCGGAGATAATTTTTTTTTCTAATTTTATTTTTATTCTTGGTTCTTTCGGTAAAGTCACGTAGAAGGGAAACAATAAAATAATAAAATTATAAAACAATACACATTTTTTATTGTTTCCCTTCTACGTGACTTTACCGAAAGAACCAATAATATGAATCCCTGCAGTCACGAAAGCTTTAAATCAAAAATTTATTTTATTTTATTATTTGTATTTTCTATCTACGTGACTTTACCACCGAAAGATCCAAGAATACAGTTGAACTTCTTTGGTTCTTTCGGTAAAGTCACGTAGAATGAGAATAAAATAATAAATTGATAAAATAAAATAACACGATAATATTCTCACGACGTTTCGGCCACAACATAAGCGGCCTTCATCAGGTTAAGGGACGAGACTGTCTGGAGGACAGCGCTGGAGTGAAAAAGCCACGCTCACTTCAGCGCTGTCCTCCAGACAGTCTCTCGTCCCTTCACCTGATGAAGGCCGCTTGTGTTGTGGCCGAAACGTCGTCAGAATATTATTGTGTTATTTTATTTTATCAATTTATTATTTTATTCTCATTCTACGTGACTTTACCGAAAGAACCAAAGAAGATGAATCCTTGCAGTCACGAAAGCTTTAAATCGAAATTTAATACAGTTGAAGATATAGAAATAGGTTTTACCCTTTTAACTGGCACAAAAACTGACACCTTTATTCAAGGCATCATGTTTGCAATAACCACAACACAAGCAGTCAAAATGCAAACAAAAGAGACAACTCTGATAATAATATGCACTGTCCTTGAATTTGATTGGTCCACACCCGAGACGGCTTTTCTTAGAGTTGAAGACAATGAAACGGTGGGGGGGGGGGGGATCGGGGGGGTGGGAGGAGAGGATGGTGGGGGGGGGGAGTAGGGGGGAGGGGCTAGGGGGGATCTGACCTTTGTTGGTGCGGGACCTCGTAGCGTTGGAAGAACACGGGGCTGCTGGGAGTGTCCGAGCTCAGGTGCATGTTCGTCGGGTTCATCCACGTGTTCACCCTCACGCACGACGCCGTCGTCTGCTGCCATCGCGGATTCAAGGCAGCGTCGTTAATTTCGCTGGGTGGTTTTTTTGTTCGTGTGCGTTTGTTTAATTTGGCTGTTCACTTCGCCGTTACAGGCAAGTGGCGTGCAAAATGAAGGATAATAAGTGATTAAAATGTATAAATCGCCCTCGAATAACTGTTCTCAGGGCGCGAGAAGAAGGTAAATGATGAGCATCTCACTTGCTGTGGTTGTCCCACCTGATGAAGATTGCTTGTGTTGCGATTGAAACGTCGTGATTTGTTTCGTTTCATTTTATTTTTCCACCTACGTGATGACTTTTACCGAAAGAACCAAAGAGTATGGATTCCTGCAGTCACGAAAGCTTCAAATCAAGATTAAATAATGATGATCGTTCGTGTGAACGAGGCGGGCGGATCAGGAAACGTCTCGAGGCGATGGGACAGCGTGGGGAGTGCTGGAACCTTGGCCCTGACATTTCAAGATATTTAAATATCGGCGCAATACATTCGTGACAAAAATTAACCCCCCCCCCCCCCCCCCCATATATTTTCTCCGGCAAAAGTAATCAAATATATCTTAGAAATATATTTCTTATATATAATTCCTGGCGAAACGTCGTACTCAGATTGTAAGTGTTGTGGCTCTCCAACACACAGGTGTTGCTGTACTAGTGACGAATTGGCACGTTATGTTTACGTGATAGCCCTTACTAGTTGGCTGTGTCGGGTGGTGGCGGGTTTAACGACACATTTATATATTTACGCGACCTAACCCCCCCAAAAAAATCTGCATTATAGATAATATGTTTATATATTCCAGAGAATATGCTTCATATATTTATTTATATTATTATTTTTAATACATATTGCATTATTATTTTTTCTCCGCCAAATATCAACAAAACAGCAATGTTCGGGGTCTCAAGGTGAGCGGGGCGCTCACCCCCATCTCTGTCCTTGCGAGCGTTTTCAATCCCAGTAATTAGCGTCACGCCGACGCTGAAGGGTGAGCGGCTGGGGCCACAAACGCGTCGCGGCGTCGATTGCGAGTGGATCCCTCTCGACGCCCTTTGGCTTGCCGTCGATCGGCACAAACGGGTTCGGTTGGGTGGCTCCACCGCTTGGCGGCACGGCAACGTGACGCGGGGTGCGTTCACGACCCGCTCCGTCGCTCACCATCTATTCCGTTTCTCATTTGCCACCTGCTTCTCTCGCGTGCTGCACTTTGTTTTGCGCGCGCGTTCGCGGTTCACTCTGCTCGGTCGGCTTAAGCCACTGAGGTCGCGACGCGTTCCTTCTTTTTTCCACTCCCGTTACCTCCGTGCCACCACCCACCCACCCCCCCCCCACACCGCATAATGCTCCCGTTCCGCCGTACCGTGCGCCGACGCGCCACCTTTATCGTAGGTGCGCAGGAAACCGAGACCGACTTTGATCGATCGCCCTCTCACCACACAGCTGCGGAGGTTGGGCCCGAGCCTGAATCCCGCCCTGCCCTCGCAGTAGCAGCGGAAGGCGCCTGCCGTGTTGACGCAGGCGTCCTCGCACGGCGCGAACTGCTCGCACTCGTCCACGTCTCACGCGACCACAGGCAGCGGGCAGAGGCCACACGCCCGGCGTCAACATTGCCGCAGGAGCAGCAGCAGCAACAGCAGCGTCAGCGTCGACACGATCGCTCATAGCAGCAGCGTCAGCGTGAACACGATTGCCCGCAGCAGCAGCAGCAGCAGCATCAGCGTGGACACGATCGCCAGCAGCGGCAGCGTTAGCAGGGACACGATCGCCAGCAGCGGCAGCGTCAGCATGGACACGATCGCCAGTAGCGGCAGCGTCAGCGTGGACACGATCGCCAGCAGCGGCAGCGTTAGCAGGGACACGATCGCCAGTAGCGGCAGCGTTAGCAGGGACACGATCGCCAGTAGCGGCAGCAGCGTCAGCGTGGACACGATCGCTCATAGCAGCAGCGTCAGCGTGAACACGATTGCCCGCAGCAGCAGCAGCAGCATCAGCATGGACACGATTGCCCGCAGCAGCAGCAGCGTTAGCAGGGACACGATCGCCAGTAGCGGCAGCAGCGTCAGCGTGGACACGATCGCCAGCAGCGGCGGCAGCGTTAGCAGGGACACGATGGCCAGCCCTCGCTGCTGCGGACACAGCGCTGGCTTACAGGAGGGCCGCGTGCAGCGGCGTATCCACCACCGCCCCGGTTAAATCCTTTCATCTCAGCGACCCCGACCCAACGCCCGGCGGCGTTTGGCCACGCGCCGGGACAAACGTCACCTTGGCAGGAGCGGGTGGCCTTGTCGTAGGCGAACCCTCGCAGGCAGCTGCAGGTGAAGGAGCCGTGCATGTTCTCGCAGCGCGCCCGCTCGCCACACACGCCGAGGGAATGCACGCACTCGTCCACGTCTAGAGCAGGGGAAAGGAGCACGCCATCTCGCCAGCGTGCCATCGCACCATCGCGATCGGCTTGACGATTAGCGGAGGGTGGTTCGGGTGGCTCATGGAGACAACAAAGTTCAAACCCAGCCTACAGCCGCCCGTGAGGTGGCAGCGCCCGACGCCTTTAGTCCGCCAAACTGAACTAAACTTTTCATTTTACCAGGTAAGGTCCACCGAGCTATGCAGCTCTTTTTCAGAAGCGACCTGGCCACAAATGGCAGCTCAACGAAGTGGCTCATCGTCACATCCATATGCTCCCAAACCACGCGACCACGGGGAGAGAGACACGCGAACTCCAAATATACAGCAGCGGGCTTCAGGGTCGAGATCAAACCCACGACCTCCTGCATACCAGGCGAGGGAGTTAACATCTCCTAGCCAACGTGGCCTACTGATCCACTCAGCGCTGTGCCCCGGTGGGCGGGATTTTTCGAAAACTTTCATCGGTGGAGGCTGTGTTCAGACCTTCGCAGGTGTGCTGGTCCATGGCCATCGTGTACCCCTGCTCGCACTGGCACGCGTACGAGCCCGCCACGTTGATGCACTTGTGACTGCAGCCCCCGTTCTGCCGGTCCGAGCACTCGTCCACATCTGCGGGGAGAGCGAGGCGCCACCGACGGGCGCTCCGTCACGACGCAAGGCGATCACTCAACGGGGAGAAGGGATTCATTGAGGTGTTTATTGTGTACGTTCTGGAGTTCCCTCCCGTCCCTCCCTCCCTTGCTCCCTCGCTCCCCTCCCTCACTCCCTCCCTCCCTCGCTCCCTCCCTCCCTCGCTCCCCCGCTCCCTCCCTCGCTCCCTCGCTCCCTCCCCTCCCTCCGCACCCTCCCTCTCGGCGTCTCATTTCCCAAGCTCTTGAAGATTGCCTCGCTCGATTCAAGAAACTTGTTCAATCTCGTCAATTACTGCACCTCTGATGGTGCTGCTTGTTGCTGATCGTTCTGGGCCTTTGCGCTCTGTGCTCAGCGACTGTTTCAACCAAACAAAAAATTCTGCGGCGAGCCGAGTTAAATTCCCGTTCGCAGCCAACATCGGTGACGAATACCTGAACCGGTCCTGGGCCTCCCCTAAGTCGACTCGGCCTCAAGCAAGCACTCGGTGCGGTGTGTAAACATTAATGCTTGGGAAACAAATGTGGCGGCGAGATGTTAACTACCTCACCTGGTATGCAGGAGGTCGTGGGTTCGATCCCGACCCTGATGCTGCATATTTAGAGTTTGCGTGTCTCTCTCTCATCATCATCACGGTAGCAAGGAGATGTTAACTACCTCACCTGGTATGCAGGAGGTCGCGGGTTCGATCCCGACCCTGATGCCTGCTGTATATTTGGAGTTTGTGGTGTCTCTCTCTCTCATCATCACGGTGGCTAGGAGATGTTAACTACCTCACCTAGTATGCAGGAGGTTGTGGGTTCGATCCGGACCTTGACGCCTGCTGTATATTTGGAGTTTGCGTGTTTCTCTCTCATCATCATCACGGTGGCTAGGAGATGTTAACTACCTCACCTGGTTTACAGGAGGTTGTGGGTTCGATCCGGACCTTGACGCCTGCTGTATATTTGGAGTTTGCGTGTTTCTCTCTCGTCATCATCACGGTGGCTAGGAGATGTTAACTACCTCACTTGGTATGCAGGAGGTTGTGGGTTCGATCCCGACCCTGTCTCTCTCTCTCATCATCATCACGGTGGCTGGGAGATGTTAACTTACCTGGTAAAATTAACTTACCTGGTAAAATTAAAAAATAGCTTAATTTGCAGTTGAACGATAATTGTTTTTTTACCCTTTTATCTGCCAACAAAACTGACACTTTTTTTACAAGGAGTCCCGTTTGCATTGACCACAATACCTGCGGTCGGAATGCAAACAAAAAACAACAACTCTGATAATGTATTATGCACTGTCCTTGAAATTGATTGGTCCACACCCGAGACAGCTTTCCTTAGAGCCCAGTCTCACATGGTGTTGGACCAGATGACGCCAAAAGGCATCTTTGTGTGGCTGGAGGACTCTTTGAAGAAGTGAGGGGTGGTGGTAGTGGTGGTGGTGGGGGGGGAATTTCTCACCCTGGGTGCAGTTCTTCCCCTTCCAGCCGTCCTTGCAGACGCAGTGGTAATCGGCCTGCAGACTGACGCACTCCGCGCTGCCCGTGACGTCGCACGGCAGAGGAACGCACTGGTCCAGGATGTCTGCCGTCGCCGCACACACCGGAACGCAAACGGTGTAGCGGTCCGGTGCGCTGGACTCGCCGGTTCGAATCGACGTCCCGCTGCGGCAGCTCAAAAAACGGCGGGTCAAGCGTCTTAATTCCAGCACGATGAGACGGTGGGAGCAAAACCACCGTGAGTCGACTCGCAGGTCACGTGCGGTGGGGTAGACCGTGGGTACTTCCGCCTAGTCGGCGTGGAAGAGTAGGCCAAAGCACCCTCCGGAGGGGTTCTCTAAAGCTCCGTCTGGCGGAGGCCCCCTGCGCCAGCAGTGGCACAAACGCGGGGCTCGCCGCTGCGCCACCGCTCCACTCGTAAAAGTGGAGTTGATTTTGCCCATGCTGCGTGTACTTTTATCGTTGGATTTTTATCGTCGTTCTTAATTTTATCCGCGATTGCGAGTGTCGTCGTCGTCGGCTTTTACAGGAGACTCTTGAATATCCGCGGGGGGCCGCGTCCTGGGAAAGTGTCGCAAAATCCAAAACCGCGATATTCAACGCTTAAGTCCCACCCACCTACATCATGGGGTTAGGTACACGGCAACCAAAAATAGACATGTCACAATTTAAATAAGCACCATACTTAATGCCAAATAAACTGAAAACTAAATAATTTAAATAAATATGTAAAAACCTTATACAAAAAAGCCTTGCTCGACAATAAATAAAAAAAAGAATAAATACGATACTTACTCATGATGCTGATGTTGATGATCCAAAGCGGATGTGTGTGTGTGTTTGTTCAAAAGCGGGGAGCGGTAGTGTCGCGGTTAGCACGTTGCGTTACAAACCCGGCGACCCGAGTTTGATGCCCGCGCAAGCAACAACGCCAGGTGAGGATTATCCGAATCGGTCCTGGCCCTTCCCTAGCTCTGTGGAACTGTTGCAGACACTCACGAGAGATTATGATCTACTCACGCGGTTGTCCAACAAATGATTGGGGCCCACTCCTGTACAGAATATGCCTTCAGCGCGTGTGTGTGTGTGCGTTGAGTACCCTAACAGGGGCGTTGGTGCCCAGTAAACAATGGGACGGTGGGGTCCAACGGCTTCTAACCCACAAGCCACGGTCGCCCTCACGTTGTATGGGTTGCTGGTTGGGCACCTGAACGGATGTTGGCAATTTGAATGTAGTTGGACACGTAGGCTTTCGCGACAAATATCATCGACAATAGAGTTTTCTTTTGGGTTAGATCGCGTAAATATATAAATGTGCCGTTAAACAGGTGGGCTTCTCCACAATTCTGGCTGTCGCCTGATGAAGCTGGTTGTAATCACTGGCGAAACGTTGTAATCAGATTGTAAATGTTGTGGCTTGGCACTGCAACACACCGGTGTGCTGTACTAGTGACGAATTGGCACGTTCTGTTTACGTGACAACCCTTACTGGCTGTGTCGGGTGGTGGCGGGTTTAGCGACACAACATTTATATATTTACTCGATCTAACCCCCCCAAAAAAACGTACCATTGATGCAGGATCGTACGATGTTTTCAACCTCAGTCTGGGCTCTTGGCTTCGTCTCCTGCGACTGGCAAGCTACGCACAAATAAACACAACGAGCAGTACTACAGGAACAGTCCCAACGTTTACGCATTTTACTAAAAAGAGACACTGTAAACAATTTTTACATTTGCCAGGTAAGGCCCGCTGAGCTACAGTATAAAGCTCTTTTCAGAAGCGACCTGGCTAGCACAAATGATAGCTCAACGAAGTGGCTTATAGTCATCACGTGTAAATTCATAGCAGCCAAATACCCTAAATGCATGTTTATAAAATGTGGAGGGGAAAACTGGCAAAAAATCCACGCGACCCCCGGGAGAACATGCGAACTCCAAATATACGGCAGGAGTCGGGGTCGAACCCACGACCTCCTGTATACCAGGCGAGGTAGTTAACATATCCTAGCCACCGTGATGATGATGAGAGAGAGAGAGACACGCAAACTCCAAATATACAGCAGGCGTCGGGGTCGAGATCGAACCCACGACCTCCTGCATACCAGGCAAGGGAGTTAACATCTTGCCACCGTAGTGCCCACACTGAATAAGCTCATCTAGGTGTAATGAAAGTAGAGCCTACATGCGCTGTGAGTGGACTAGTGGCCACGGCAAGTAATGACAGGGAAGTCAGCCGACAGTACGAATGCACTAGTGGCCACGGGAGGTATTGACAGGGGTATCAGTTGTGAGTGCGAAGGGACTGGTGGCTACGGGAGGTAAAGACAGAGAAGTCAGTTGTGAGTGTGAAGGGACTGGTGGCTACGGGAGGTAATGACAGGGGAGTCAGTTGTGAGTGCGAAGGGACTGGTGGCTACGGGAGGTAATGACAGGGGAGTCAGTTGTGAGTGCGAAGGGACTGGTGGCTACAGGAGGTATTGACAGGGGAGTCAGTTGTGAGTGCGAAGGGACTGGTGGCTACGGGAGGTATTGACGGGGGAGTCAGTTGTGAGTGTGAAGGGACTGGTGGCTACGGGAGGTAATGACAGGGGAGTCAGTTGTGAGTGCGAAGGGACTGGTGGCTACGGGAGGTAATGACAGGGGTATCAGTTGTGAGTGCGAACGGACTGGTGGCCACGGGAAGTATTGACAGGGGAGTCAGTTGTGAGTGTGAAGGGACTGGTGGTTACGGGAGGTAATGACAGGGGAGTCAGTTGTGAGTGTGAAGGGACTGGTGACTACAGGAGGTAATGACAGGGGAGTCAGTTGTGAGTGTGAAGGGACTGGTGGCTACGGGAGGTAATGACAGGGGAGTCAGTTGTGAGTGTGAAGGGACTGGTGACTACAGGAGGTAATGACAGGGGAGTCAGTTGTGAGTGTGAAGGGACTGGTGGCTACGGGAGGTAATGACAGGGGAGTCAGTTGTGAGTGCGAAGGGACTGGTGGCTACGGGAGGTAATGACAGGGAAGTCAGTTGTGAGTGCGAAGGGACTGGTGGCTACGGGAGGTAATGACGGGGTTATCAGTTGTGAGTGCGAACGGACTGGTGGTTACGGGAGGTAATGACAGGGGAGTCAGTTGTGAGTGTGAAGGGACTGGTGGCCACGGAAATGATCGAGAAGGGAACGTGGTCAGGTGATGGAAGAGGACGGTGGAGCCTGCCGGTGGGGCGAGCGTCCAGAGTCAGCGAGAAGGATCGATAAGGGGAGTGGGGCCTCGTGTTGGTATATAAGGGAGATTCGCGGGAAACTCGGGGATGTTGTGGTGGGGTCTCCGCCTGGTGTGAAGTGAACGCGTCTTCAATAAAGTGCCATCTCAAGACAAGTGTGTCAATTCGTCCTTACATTTCCAAAAAAAGGCCGTTCGTCTTGTACATTTAAAATAAATCCTATCAAGGCATTTTAAATAGAGATATAGAAAATCAAGACACCTCGTGAAACATCTTTAGCATTGCCATGACACCCGTGGTGGAACCCCCATCCAGCAAACGAGAGTGTGTGTCGCGTGTGCAACAAAATGCAGTTCCGTCTAATTTTTACAAAAGTTGCTCTTGTGTTACTGAGCTGCATCCAACTTCCGTTTATGATTCTAGCCCGTGTTTAACCGGAGCAACCCGGACTACAACGCTGTTTACTGCGTCACGTGAAAATTGAGACCGCTATCACGTCGGATTTAGCGAGACCTCCTACCCACAGCATTACGAACGCGTTAGGCACGCACATAAGCTATGTTGATTAACTACGAATAACCCAACCGCTAATGGTTATTCATTGCAATTTTTATGAATCTCATCAACCCTCCAACGCCCCGCTCTGGTCTTCGCACGTGGTTGGCTCACAAGTGACGACATCACATTTATCCCTCGTCTGTCCAAGATCGAAACAGGAGGAGGGTTTCTCCACGAACTTCTGTGGCTGCCGCCTGATGCTGCTGTTCGTTGTTGTCGGAATTCCCGGCAAAAAGTCACGGTACTCGAATTGTAAATGTTGTCGTGCGTCTACTCTCCAACACACCGGTTCGTGCTGTACTAGTAACGAATTGGCACGTTCTGTTTACGTGACAAACCTTACTAATTGGCTGTGTCGGGTGGTGGCGGGTTTGACGACACGTTTATATTTACGCGATCTAACCCAAAAAAAACCCTCTGTTTGGATAATATTGGTCGCAAAAGCCTACTACATGTTAAACATTACGAACGAGCGAACTATATTAGGCTTTGCCAAGCACTAAGTACACGTCGCATTTCACGGTGTAGCTATTTGTTGTATTCAACAGCACACACGCTTTTACAATATTACACATTTGAGTGCACGTGAATTATGTGTGGTTATTTTTTGTGCCAAGTTACTTACCTAAATATCTTGGGTAGAAATAGTCCTGCAAGGTGCAAAACGCGTCACAATAATCATCTCACATCCCAGCTCTCCACATCTCCCAGTGCAACAACCTATGTGTAAGTGGAGGCCTTGGAGCCAGGAGTGACCCGAGTTAGGCGATTGCAGGACGGCACGAATTTATCTGAGCGAGTCTTGCAAGGATTTGGGAATGTTTTTCCACAAACACTGAAACGAGGCTCTGGCCCAACACAACAAAACAATCCACCAGGCACGCACGAACACAATATGAAGCGTTGAATACCAAAGTAAGTCTTCTTTGTGTGCAACACATCGATACACACGAGGGATTGGCAGGTTGAGAAATATGAAATCACTCATGTCCCATGCTTGGTTCGTAACTTTCTTTGTTGGATGATACTGTCATGTTATACTGCACCATTCATGGTAATAGCATCCCATAACGATGTACATTAATTATATATATGTAAGGACCCTATCCCATGTAAAGCCACTACCAAGCAAATGAAAACCCTCCTACTACTACCAAGAAAAATCATAAATGAATTTAACAAATAAAGAAAAATGGCACCAAAATAAGGGCATCTGCCGGCCTGCGTTTCTTTTTGTGAATGAAAATTGGACGGCGCTTTGGGAGATTTCACCCAGCGCAGGCTGCCGCTGGAACAGCAGACAATGACTACACGACAGAATGAATGATATTTGTTTTCCTATCTACGTGATTTTACCGAAAGAACCATAGAATATGTAAAATGAATGACACATTATGTTAATGCGCAGGTAAGCTCAAAAGCAACAATGGGCGCGACTATCACGGGCTTTGTCGATCCACAAATCGTCTCCTTCAATCCAGAATTCACGTGCTGGGAATCACTTTACCGATTTAAAAAAAATCACCTTGATCAATGCTCGAACACATAGACACGTGTTTTCAAAATATCATAGCTTGATCAATGCTCAAACACATAGGCACGTGTTTTCAAAATATCATAGCTTATCCATGCTCAAACACATAGACACGTGTTTTAAAAATATCATAGCTTGATCCATGCTCAAACACATAGGCACGTGTTTTCAAAATATCATAGCTTATCCATGCTCGAACACATAGACACGTGTTTTCAAATTATCATAGCTTGATCCATGCTCACACATAGACACATGTTTTCAAAATATCATAGCTTGATGCATGCTCGAACACATAGACACGTGTTTTCAAAATATCATAGCTTGATCCATGCTCAAACACATAGACACGTGTTTTCAAAATATCATAGCTTGATGCATGCTCGAACACATAGACACGTGTTTTCAAAATATCATAGCTTGATCCATGCTCAAACACATAGACACGTGTTTTCAAAATATCATAGCTTGATCCATGCTCAAACACATAGACACGTGTTAAAATATCATAGCTTGATCCATGCTCAAACACATAGACACGTGTTTTCAAACTATCATAGCTTGATGCATGCTCGAACACATAGACACGTGTTAAAATATCATAGCTTGATCCATGCTCAAACACATAGACACGTGTTTTCAAAATATCATAGCTTGATCCATGCTCAAACACATAGACACGTGTTTTCAAAATATCATAGCTTGATGCATGCTCGAACACATAGACACGTGTTAAAATATCATAGCTTGATCCATGCTCAAACACATAGACACGTGTTTTTAAACTATCATACCTTGATCCATGCTCAAACACATAGACACGTGTTTTTAAACTATCATAGCTTGATCCATGCTCAAACACATAGACACGTGTTTTTAAACTATCATAGCTTGATGCATGCTCGAACACATAGACACGTGTTTTTAAACTATCATAGCTTGATCCATGCTCAAACACATAGACACGTGTTTTCAAACTATCATACCTTGATCCATGCTCAAACACATAGACACGTGTTTTCAAACTATCATAGCTTGATCCATGCTCAAACACATAGACACGTGTTTTTAAACTATCATAGCTTGATCCATGCTCGAACACATAGACACGTGTTTTTAAACTATCATAGCTTGATGCATGCTCGAACACATAGACACGTGTTTTTAAACTATCATAGCTTGATCCATGCTCAAACACATAGACACGTGTTTTCAAACTATCATACCTTGATCCATGCTCAAACACATAGACACGTGTTTTCAAACTATCATAGCTTGATCCATGCTCAAACACATAGACACGTGTTTTTAAACTATCATAGCTTGATCCATGCTCGAACACATAGACACGTGTTTTTAAACTATCATAGCTTGATGCATGCTCGAACACATAGACACGTGTTTTTAAACTATCATAGCTTGATGCATGCTCGAACACATAGGCACGTGTTAAAATATCATAGCTTGATGCATGCTCGAACACATAGGCACGTGTTAAAATATCATAGCTTGATGCATGCTCGAACACATAGGCACGTGTATAGCGTTTTCCTTCCGCTCCTCCAGGCTGCGGAACTCACCGTCTCCGACTCGTTCTCAAACACCTCCCGTGCCTCCTCCTTGCTGCACACCTCCTCGACGCACTCCCGCTCCAGATTCCCCTTCTTGAGCTCCTCGAACATCAGGTTGGCTCTGCGCACCCTCAGCAGGAACTCGCTGGCTCGCTGCGGCGTCAGTGCTGCAGGAAGAAGCCAACGGGAACGTTGGTGGGGGGCGACACCTCGCTTGTCAATTGCGCAATACCTCCTCGAGGGCCCCTGTAACTCCTTCCCTGCAGTATCGATGTTTTTTGTCCTTTGCTGCTGCTGTGTTCATCCACCGCCATGGATCTGCCTTGTGAAATCGCCGGGCAACTGGCTGAGCGGGATCATCCGTGTAACGTATCAAAATAAACTGAACTAATCGAAGCATAAAAATAAATTTCACTGTGACTAATAGGTTAGGTTTTCGTGGCTGTGGAGTATAGCTCCGATGTGGTGTTTTGGGAGGTTTTACCTTCTTCAAGTTCCTGAAGAACGTGGAACGAAACGTCGGGCATCGTGCCCCAACCTCACATCGTGATACAACCCTAAAACAAGGAGCTGTACAGCACAACGCAGTAGTACTGAGGACAACGATGACTATTTTCCACAACGAAACAGTTTGGGAAATTTCTCACCATTATTTACGAGTAAACTGCTGAATCTGAACATGCCATGCATCATCATCATCATCGACTTTGCTATTTCCAGTGATTTGTTGCAGTCAGAAAAAAAAAACGTTGAGTTCAGCCCTAATCTGTTTACAGTCGGCAGATAATTGCTTAGTTTTCTCTGGGCTGCCATAGGGCAAAGTCCTAAGCTGTGGATACAGACAGCCTAAACCAGGGGCGGGGAACCTTTTTTCTGCCAAGGGCCATTTGGATATTTATAACATCATTCGCGGGCCATACAAAATTATCAATTTCAAAATTAGCGTGTTATATTTGGTCAAACATTTAATTAACTCACCCCTAATGTGATGGCTGGAACTGCTGCTCGTTGGCGAGGCGTGTGATGATGTTAGCTGGTATTGACGATGTTGTTGCTACTCGCAACTGCTTTTCCAGGTTTGCTCCCAGATTTATTGAATTTCGAGTCCCGCCTGCGGTTGCCTTGACAGGGCCAGAGACCAAATGATTTCGCGGGCCTTATATGGCCCGCGGGCCAGACGCTCCCCACTCCTGGTCTAAACAGAGACATTTGACCTTCATATATAAATGAGCCGTTGGCTGTACAAGTGAGCATAAGCGATGGGTTTCGGATAAAAAAAAAAGAACAATATGAATTCTGATTTTAAAAATGAGAATTTCGGATTTCGTGTCGGATTTACAGATCGTGTACTAATTGAAACGTGTCTTCGTGTTGACAGAAGTGGTGTCGCACGAAGCCACGTGACGCCTCTATTGGCGAAAGTGAAGAGACACGTGGGAGTCGTTTTTCCGCAACGTAATAATTTCGGATCGATCTGAAACTCAACATTGCTTTCGGATGACATCAAATATATATCAGCAATACAACCCGATTCCACACTTACAAAGTTAAAGTCAAAGACCCCCCTCAATAGAAATAACGGACTGTTGGGGCAAGTACTGTAAATACTTTAAATTTTCCTGTCGATGGACAGATATATTTAGGAGAAATTGTCCACTTAATTTGTTAGTTATATTATCCACAACAATGCCAATTATTATTTTGGGTTGTGGCTGGTTGATGATGATAATTCGACCACGCAGGTGTGTGTGGGGTGGTGAAAGCGGGCAGCACAAATGAACACGGAGCAGGCTGTCGCCACCAAAATCATCCATAGTTGAGGTTTTTGTTTGGGTTAGATCGCGTAAAGATATAAATGTGTCGTTAAAACCCGCCACCACCCGACACAGCCAACTAGTAAGGTTTGTCACGTAAACAGAACGTGCCGATTCGTCACTAGTACAGCAAATCCGGTGTGTTGGAGAGTAAATTCACAACATTTAAAGCACTATACCAGCTACTACCCCCCCTCCATCACTATACCAGCTACCCCTCCCTCCATCACTATACCAGCTACTACCCCCCTCCATCACTATACCAGCTACCCCCCCCCCATCACTATACCAGCTACTACCCCCCCCCCCCATCACTATACCAGCTACTACCCCCCCATCACTATACCAGCTACCCCCTCCCTCCATCACTATACCAGATACTACCCCCCCCCCCCCATCACTATACCAGCTATCCCCCCCCCATTACTATACCAACTACTACCCCCCCTCCATTACTATAGCAGCTACTACCCCCCCCCTCCATCACTATACCAGATACTACCCCCCCATCACTATACCAGCTACCCCCCCCATCACTATACCAGCTACTACCCCCCTCCATCACTATACCAGCTACTCCACCTGTTGTATATATAGGCCTTTTACCAAAAATTAATATTAACAATAATTCTGCCATTTGTTTAATAATAATAATAATCATCGATAAAATAAATAAATAAACAGCCTGGTTACCAAAACGAACAAAATCATCTCTGATTCAACAGCATTAATTGATGAGACCAAACAGTTCTCGTTGAAACCCTCTGCTGCCAGACCACCAAGATTATATGGCCTTCCAAAGATACACAAAGGAGATACACCCCTTCGTCCCATCGTCTCTACTATCAACTCCCCCACCTATAAACTGGCACGTTTTCTTGCTGATATACTGCGACCTTTCACTGGAAAAACCACCTCTGCGGTACTAAATTCTACTCACCTGGTATCGACAATCAAAGGTATTTCCCTGTCCCCAGACGACCTGCTTGTCAGTTTTGATGTGATGTCCTTGTTCACCAAAGTCCCGGTACCTGACACCATCGCTATCATTGAAGACCTGGTTCATCAAGGACTGCATACTGATGTACCCCCCCTGGTGAGACATTGCTTAACCAACACATACTTCACCTGGAATGGAACTTTCTACAAACAAACTGAGGGCACCCCAATGGGCTCCCCCCTATATCCGGGTGTAGCCAACGTATTCATGGAAAAATTTGAAACTGACGCCATCCAGACTGCCACTCTACGCCCGACCTTATGGAAGAGGTACATGGATGACACTTTTGTCATCTGGCCACATGGCCAGCCTGCTCTAGACCAATTCCGCGACCACATCAATTCCATACACCCAGCCATCAGATTTACCATGGAGGTCGAAAAAGATGGCAAACTACCCCTTTTTGGATGTCTTAATTAAAAGGAGACATGATGGTTCAATGAGCCACTCTGTCTACAGGAAAGCTACCCATACAGATGCTTACTTGAAACCGGATTCCCACCACCATCCATCCCAGAAGAACTCCCTCATCAATACTCTATACCATAGAGCCCAATGCATTTCCGACCAGGAACACATTACCAGTGAACTCAAGCACGTACACCAGGCTCTCAGGGCTAATGGTTACTCCGACTACACAATCCGCAAAGCCATCACTCCAGTCATGAAGAAGGATCCTCTTGTGGAGCCACTCAAAACCATCACCTTACCCTAGATTGCAGGGGTCACTAAAAAGATCTCCAAAATCCTGAATAAACACAAGATCCAGGTCCAATTCAACACAGTACATAAAATCCGTGATCCGGTTCCATCTGTAAAAGATGCTGTTCCAGACATACAGTACCCGGGCGTTTACAAACTAAAGTGCCTCTGTGGTAGTAGCTACATTAGAGAAACCAAACGACATATCTCGGACCGCATCCGCGAACATAAAGTAGACTTGAAACACGGGAGAACGAACTCCTCTGCCGTGGCAGATCACTGATATAATTCAGTGGGCTCACATGACATTGACTTCTCCAAGACGGAGGTTCTTTGCAAACCAACCGGCTTCTATTTTACGATGACCTTCAGACCGCAGCTCTTTCGCTGGCATTGACTCTTAATACCTCTCACACCACGGTTAATAGTATGGTTTACAACATGGAGTATAACAGCGCCTCGCAGCTGTCTCTCTCCCCCTCCTCCGTTCCGACCATGGATGAACTCGTTCGTCTGAACGGGGCTCGTAGTTATCCGTGGTGCTAAAGTTGAGGGTAAGAATCCACCCATTTTTTCGCCATATAGCATTGTGATATATAACAACTTATTGTTGGTAGCTTAGCTGATTGGAGAATATATAGAGTTTATTGATAACATTGAGGTAATTTATATTTTAGTTTTTTATTGGTTTACTATATAGTATTCATTATATAGTGTAGTGTACACCCAGTTATTGTTAATAGCTCAGATGTGTAGCCATTTCTGTGACCAGTCACAAGCTAATCACTCAGCTATTTCAATGCTAAATTCTATGCTAATTCCTTTGTCAAGGGGTGCCTCTGTGGATGTGTATGCTTTGACTTTAACATAGCCATTTCTGTGACCAGTCACAAGCTAATCACTCAGCTATTTCAATGCTAAATTCTATGCTAATTCCTTTGTCAAGGCGCTCTGTTTCTTCTCACACAGCTTAAAGGTCGCGATCTGAGCTTGGCTGTGTTCGCTCCAGCGCTGTCCTCCAGACAGTCTCGTCCCTTCACCTGATGAAGGCCGCTTGTGTTGTGGCCGAAACGTCGTGAGAATTTTATTGTGTTATTTTATTTTATCAATTTATTATTTTATTCTCATTCTACGTGACTTTACCGAAAGAACCAAAGAAGATGAATCCTTGCAGTCACGAAAGCTTTAAATCGAAATTTAAATAAACACCCTCAAACCCGCTACCTCCCACAAGGACCAACCATCTGGAGGTCGTAAAAGGCCATTAAATAATAAACTCCGGGGCAAAGGGAGGTTAACGACGATCTGCAAAATCTCCAGATTACCAAAGGACAGTTCACAAACAAATATCCAGAATCACAGGCACGGACACAGAGCACAGGGCAAACGGACATTATAACTGATATATATTTTTGTGTACGGAAAAAGTTTAAGCTTGGCTATAAGAACAAGTCGACATTATAGACTGCAGTATTCCTTATATTATTTCTTATTGTATCTTTCTATCTACGTGACTTTACCAAGAGAACCAAAGTACATGAGTTCCTGCAATCACGAAAACTTAAGACCAAACTAAGCGATATCTCTGACCTCGAGAAAAAAAAAAGCACGGATCCCTGGATGCAGACAGGAAGCAAAAAGTTAATCAAAC